GCTCAAGTGATAGTTTTAATCTGTCTGTTTAGTGTACATTGTTCATATTCTATTCTATTCTATTCTATTCTATTCTATTCTATTCTATTCTATTCTATTCTATTCTATTCTATTCTATTCTATTCTATTCTATTCTAAATCTATTCTATTCTATTCTATTCTATTCTATTCTATTCTATTCTATTCTATTCTATTCTATTCTATTCTATTCTATTCTATTCCAAATTATCTACAATGTATTTAACATAAATCATGCATTTTTTTAAAAACAATTCACAGGATATTTCTTTTGTACTTATTAACTATGTTATAATGTCAATACTCAAAAGTTGAAAATGTCTCAGAGCGATCGTAAACTTACCAGATTCCAATGTGTGAGATATTTTGTATTTCCTCCAAAAGTATATGGTATATTAGGCATAATAAAGGTCTGATCATAAAACTCCGTGTACAGATACACGGAAAGAAATACACTATGCATTGCGATGTGCACGAAAATCAGCGTCATCGTTATGAAAAAATGGTTCTAGCACTACAAAAACGAATGGTGTGGTAGCAGATACAATATTTCCACAATTTCTGGGATTTAGATAAATGGTTAAACAAACGATTAACGCGCGTGGGTGCGATGCTGCGATGAATATTCAAAGCATTCGCTTTTATGATCAACAGGTCGGTGTATTACCCCGGATGTAGACCAGAAAGCCGTTCATCGTCTTTAAATAGAAAATACATGAAAACGAAAGCAGAGAGTAATTCCATGAAAATATGCCCATCCTTGTGACGAGGGTGTTTGGGTTATATCATCACGCGAGACTCAACGAGAACAGAATTTCAGTAAAAAATAACTGCAGTTGACGTAGTTTATAGGTGTTCTCTATTTTTATGTCAGCCATGCGAAGATCCGACCCGCAATTCACATCATCACGTGATTAACAGTATAGCGATAGTGTGACGAGGAACGATGGCGTACAAGGACTGAGACGTAACACACTCAGCTACTGTCCATTTTGAAAAAAATACTGGATGGTTGAAAACAATATATATATATAGTCTAGCGTAAATAATATTTCTAAGTAAATTGCCAGCAAAGTACGAATTTGAGTTATTCACAGACAATGTTATTTTAGTACATATACATATTGTCATCGCAGGTCGGCGCACCACCAAAATACTCTCATGTGAGCCGAAGAGCGCCGCCTGTGGTCAAATACTTAAAGTCGAGACTCGCAAAACAGAAAATGTACAACAGCTTCATTGTATTTTAGTTCGTTATAGAAGTTGCTTTACAGTTGTGTAACTCCGTACACGAAGTAAGTAGAATCTCATATTTTGAAAATACTTTCGAGTTGACGCAGTAATTTATTTCTTTGAGTATAAATAGAGGGTCGGCAAGGGGTCTTTTCGTAAGCTGTAATCAATTGTTTTTATTTTCGTAATAATGTTATTTAAATAAATAAAAAACGTAAATTCGTAGACATGGGCAAGGTGTGAAATATAAACAGCTATTTTATTCGTCCTCAATTTGTACAAAGATTTTATTTTGTGTAAGCGTATAAAACAATTTCCAAATTAAATGTCGTAATTTCCAATTTTGATTCTTAAAACTCAAATTATCCAAAATATTATACAAACACAAGACACTTCGCGATGAGCGTCTTTTGCGGTCAGTGATATTTACGAACATTTTTGTTCACTATTGGCGATCCGTTCTGCTAGGATTGCCCTTAAAATCAATTTTGTGTTTCTGTGTGTGTGGTTTCCAGTGTTTTCACGTATTAATTCTTCTGTGATTGTTTTGGCTTGGCCTATTTCCCCCAAACTTGGCAGGCAGGTCACACCATCACCCTAGTTATTAGGTAAAATCTGAAGAAAAAAATTGGCCTATCGTTACCATAGTATGATGA